TTATTATATCATTTTATCATTAATTAGTATTAAAAATAATAAAAACGAATATTAATTCATCATCAATTTTAATTAAGTCATTAATTAAATAAAAAATAAATTTTTATTTTTTAATAATAATTAATATAAAAAACGATTAAATTATACTTTCAACTTTCAAGTCAGGCATTAAAAAAATCCTAATAACACACCGCCAGTTACGTATCGAACAAAAACAAATCCACCAAACCTAAACTCCTCAGGCTTCTTGACTTTTTGTGTTGAATTGACGTGCTAAGCAAGTATCTGCCCCCCAAATCAATTCACTGGACCCGTTCCAAATTTCCGAACACCAATTCCCAAAAACTCCCAAAAAAACCATCATCATCAAAATGCTTCTCGATATCAGAAGCAGACCAGCGCCCATATTATTTGAATGTTAAAGAGAAAATTCAAGCAATGTGGGTGGGGCAAGTGATGTATCCATTTGTACCCAAAATTCTTAAGTTGATTGTTATGGTCAATGCTCTGCAAGTTGCCGAGAAAGTGAAGGTCTAGGTGCAGGGTAATTAAGCATCATCTAAAAGCAAACCATCGAGGAAAGTCGTTACTGGGGGAGGTACAACTGTCTCAATTTAATTGATGATGCGTCTCCGCATTAAAAAAATAAAAATAAAAATAAATAATAGTCCAAAGTCTGGTGATTAAATGTTGGAAGGTGGAGGCCAACCACATGGGATTGACTGTTTGCTCCGTGGATTGGCATCCGGGGTGTATAGTTCGAAACTCATCCCACACTTGTAATCTCTCCCTCCATAATTATGTAGTTCGAAAAAAAAAAAAAATTGTGGAAGTGCACTGTGTGTGGTTATTTTAAGGCCAAGAAGTTATTGTAATTCTTTTGTAAATCACTAGACTCCTGAAAGTTGTTCGACACTTTTTGCCCCTCTCCATGCCTAGACCAGGCCTCATCTTTGTCGCTCTTCTTCTTCTCTCCTTAATTCATGAGACTTGCAGTGCCAAAGATAAACGTCACTGTCCACCTTCTTCTTGTGGAAATAATTTGAATATTAGCTACCCTTTCAGATTAAACACAGATCCAACTTCCTGTGGAGAGATTGCAGATCCATCATATTCTCTATCCTGTGAGAAAAACCTTACAGTATTCCCTTCTAAATCAGGAAAATTCTACGTGAAAGCAATCAATTATGACAATCAAACAATTCGAGTAGCTGGTGCTGGTGTTGAGGAAGGGAGCTGCTCCATACCTCAATATTCCTGGGACGACTCTAGCTTCTCAACGCTTTTCCAGGATTATAGTTATAATTATTTTAAGTATTATAATAATTATTTTTATTATTTGGAGAGCATCCTTTTCATAAGTTGTGAAAATCTTGTAAATGCCTCGCGTTACGTGGAAGCTCCTGCCTGCATTAACGGCAGCTCTTTCTTCACACCTTATGGGCTTGAATATGAAGGCAAAATGTATTATTATGTGAAAATTGGAACACCAACTCCACATGAGTTAAAACCTTCATGCCGTATTGAGCTAATGGCACTTATACCATTAAGACTGGTGAAGAATTACGAGGACTTCTCCTACCTGGACATCCACCGTTTGTTAACATATGGAATTGAGTTGCCGTGGAGGGGCGCTCCGTGTGGAAAGAGTGGTTTTTCCTACATTAATAAGGAAAACCAGTGCGTTTTTAAACATGGTGCTGGAAATCTGGGTACTTTAGAAGCAAATTCTTTTGATTTGAGTTCCAATTGTGCATATATATGCTTTTTCATTTCTCGGTCGTATCTTTTTTTAGTTGCAAAAGGTTTTGGCTAATTTTGTTTACTTCATGCAGACAACCAAGTTTACAAAGTTTTTGGCACAGCTGTATCTCTGCTCACTTATTATTTACCTGGTAAGTACCTCTAATCGACATCTTGTTCAAATATTATATATATATATATATATATGAAGTAAGAATACAATCTTAAGTAGTATAAAGAGGTTAGAGTTAACTCTATCCTCTTCCTTTCTCTTTCTTCTCTTCATTTGTCTCTTCAAAAATGAGTTTGATTTTGTAATAATTTTATAAATACTTTGATCTTTAAAGGCATTTTGATGGATAAAAAGTTTTAAATTGAGTAATGACAATTGATGTAATTTTTATTAAACTTTTATTTATTTTATAATTACATTTTTCTTAATTTATATCTTTTTTCTATTTGAATGGAAATTTTTTTTATCTTTATTCTATTTGAAGCTATTTTTGCAATAGTTTTTTTTCTTAAACTTATTATAATATTCATAAACTAATTATGTCATTGTTT